TTTATCTTTACAGCCAAGGAACTGCCCAAGACTGCAAAGGCCTCATATCTCATTCCCAACCATATCTTGAAGGAGCTTTTATGAAAGTCAGGCCACCTCTCCGGACATAAGTATCCTTAGCTGTAAAAGGAAGAATATTGAACGACATGATCTGAAAATTCACTCATGCTCTAAAGTTTATAGTTTCACACAGCAGTCTAACTAGCAAAAATGTATTTCTTATTTTTTTATTTTTATTTTTCACTTTTAACTGAAGATTGCAATTAGTCTCAGCTAGAAAGCAAATTTTTAAAAATGTATTACTCTGACCACATACCTTAAAAACAGAGATTCACTGCTGCAGTGAAATGATTGGTCCCAAAAGTGAATCTTGCAGAAAACAAATAAATATGTCCATCTGGTAAAGTTATTACACACTATACAAACGATAAAGAATAAACATATAGTAATTTTTAAAACCCTGCATAAGTTGTTACTGTAGTTGGTTAACATTTAAGGGCAAGTTTTTTTTCCTAGTAAACCATCAAACTCTATTTTAAAATACTGCCTTCTTTTCCTCTCTCTCTCTGTGTCTCTCTCCCACACAAATGTGCTGTTTTCTTCATTACATCAACTTCAAAATAATTATGCAAAAAAATTTAAGCCAAAATTACAGTCAAGGTATGACTGCAACCTCAGAAAAAAAAAACTGCTACATTTAGAAATCTGGGTAAATTTCAATAAAAGATGCTCACCAGGAGTCAAATAGCTCAAATATTTATTAAAGATGAAATATCACCATTATATAAATATAGAGCATTGTCTCAAAACAATAATTTCAAATATGTTGCATGACAGCCATTAAATTGCTCTGTCATCTGAACAGATAACGTAAACATTTCATTTAACATTTACTTTCAAAGTAGCTTATGTATTTGTACACTCTAGGGCCAGAATAATCACTAATCTTTTCATATAAAAAGGCTTTTCAAATCTAAATATTAGTCACAGATCTTTTTATTATGACATATTAAAATATGCAAAATAGATGACTTCAAAATAGTCACCAACCTCCACTGATCTATACCATGTTGATGCCTATTGGCCAACATCATTACGTTACTGAAAACAATAAACCCGGTTAGAGAATGCAGCCCACTGTTATTACTAGAGAGAAAAATACAACTCCCTAACCTAGAAAAATCCCTCTCTACTTAACATCGGATTGGCTACTGTGAACATTTCTACTCAAAGGAAGAGTTTAGATTTTATGGAAACTTAAACATTTTTAAGAGATGTCACGCTTAATTGTCATCTTAAATGGCCATTTACAGTAACTCAGACACATTGGCAACTTGAAGGTCACTTTGGTGGCTATCACCTCATTGTAAAAATTGGGAGAGGGGTTAATTGAAGAAAAGAATTTAACCAAGAATTGCATCGTTCTTAGTGCATTAAGATCAAAATATAGTATTGATTTACTTTTGAATGATGGATATTCCATAAATTTATACAATCGCCTTAAATTTTCATTGTTCCTTTTACGGATTCCATAGTTAGCAATTATCATGCTAGAGAGGAAGACAAGTTTCAGCCTCTTCCATTCTTCATGGAATGAAACAATCCCGTGAGGCCGGTTTGTCTCTCTCCCTTTGCGGTCCCTCCAGGCCAGTCACACAAGAGGGGCATGTTCTTGCCAGTAAGGAATGCAGCAGGCAGCGGCCCTGTCTGCTGCCTTCCTCGGAGTACACGCAACATGCCAGCTGCTCCCGTGGTTCATTATGGGACAGCCCACCTCCATCACTGTATGATTACTTGGAAATCCTTTTACGTTAGCACCTAAAAGTCACTATTCTATATGATGAAATGTCATGCTATTAAAAATCAGGTCTTTGAAGATTACTTACTGGTGGGAAATTTTTTTTTAATAGAATATAAAATAAAAGCTACAAAGTACTAATTTTTATAAAGTATAATCCTAATTATATCTCAAAAATGCATAGACAAAAATTAGAAGAAAATACATTAAGGCAGTACATGTGATTCTCCATGTATATAGATATAGTGAATTTTTATTTTTAGCACTTTACGCATAGTACTTTTAAATCATGCTTTTAAAAAAACAGTGAGCACTTTTAAAGTACTGCCATAAAAGAAATGACCTTTGGAGGGACCAATGAAAGCAAAGGACCAAATCCTTCCTCTCTTGTATTTGTGTAAAATTTGTCTGCCATGAATTTTAGAGGTCAGCAGAAGGTCTAAACAGGCAAGGAGTGAGTATGTGTGAGGGGAATTGAGTTTACGAAATGAGAATCATCAAGACAGATACAGAAATATAAGGCAGAAGAGAAAGGGAAAGCAGAAAAGGAGGTACTTTTCAAAACACTCATGATGTCCTATATTACATTTATGTCATGGATATGAGTATTAATGTAAATAAAAAGATAATACTGGACACAAAGTGAATGATTAAAATTATAATTTCACAAGAAGATATTACCAGAAACAAGAGCTATTAAAACCACTATTTGATAAAGATATTATTTGTTCACTTTTCTTAGCTTTTCAATTTATTTTCAAATAATGAAATGAAATTACAGGAGCCACTTACTGATTTCCTTCAGTCTGCCTATCCACGAATGCATTTTACATAAGAAAAAAACCTTTTTATCCGAAACATAATCCTCTATCTTAAATATATTAATTAGTAGAAATTATATTCTTTAAAAGGTGAGATTTATTCCAAGTTTTTTTGAAAAGTTCTGCTACTTAACTCTCCCCCAACGATTAGAGGCAAGATATCCATATGAATTACAGAGAGAGCACAACCACTGATGAAGATGGCAAAATTATAATGCCTCTAACTCTGTGCCCAGAATTTTTAAAATATATATGTTTGATTAAAATGCAACTGAAATTCCTCTGAAATAAACTTAATGGATTCAAATATGTCCTAATATCTCTTGCAAACAGGGGAGAGTGGTGAATTAACATTAACAATATAAATGGTCTAGATTGTCACAAGCTATATTATCAGAGAAATATCTCCATGAAGATATGCTAAACATAGACATCTATTAAATTTCGTAAGGTTTTCAGAATTCGTAAACCAAAACAGCCAAGGTTATTAAAATCCCGTAAGCTAAATATTCAAGGTATTTCACAATCTGACCCCACAAGGTTGGCCTTATTTCCTGTCACCCATCATTCTAGGAAGTGGAGTAGAAAGTTCCTGCTAAATTAAAATCTAAAAAGAGTTTGGGATTCTTGCATAAAAATAATATCCCCATAAAAGAAAAAGTAAAACCATGAACATGTGTTTTAGAAACTGAGCTTTTAGAGGTAACTATACAAAGCTTGTTCTGGAAGATAGCAGGTTCTAATAACCACATCAGAGTTAAATTAACTTAAATTTAATCATGTCCACACGATCCTGTTTCCTATGAAAATTTAGACACAAGTATAAAGAGTGCACAAAGAAAACCAGCTTCCGATTTCAATCCACAATTCAGGTTGGTGACTACAGCCACAACCATGAGGGTTTAGGTTTAACCAAAGTTATAATTCTGATTTCAGATTTGCTACTTGTCTGAAGATCTCTTGAGGGAGAAAAATTATGTCTGTCTAAATCATCACTCCATCTGTAGCTACAAGCATAGTGCTCAATAAATATTTTCTATGTTAATTCACTTACTTCAATTCAATTCACACTTATTGAACACTGGCTCTGTGGTAGGCAATGGTGATACAAAAATGGATAAAACAGGGATCTCAGCATTCTTAAAGTTGTTTGGGCCTCAGTTTCCACACCTCAATAAAAGAAGACTGAATTAAATCATTTCTAACGTCCTTCCCCATCCTCAAATTCTACGATTCTACAATTGGAAGTATTAGCTGTTTATCTTTAAAAGTTATGCAAAGCCACATCATTAACAGCTTTAACTTACCCCTGTTAATGGTAAGGAGCAGTGGTAGCACACAGTAATGGTCTAAAAGTATGGGCACTGAGGTCAGACAGTCTTGAGTCTAATCAGGAGAAACCACACAGTAATTTGAAAAGGGAAAGATTAATGAGTGAATTATTAACTACAACGAGGGACTGGAGTAAGGAGGTATTGGCTAGTGAAAAGTAAAGAGAACTCTAAAACGTATAGGAATACAAGAAGCAATCACTGTCCTTAGGACTGAGGTAGAACAGCTTAAAGAATGCCTCCCCGCCATCCCTCCAGATTTAAGTCCCTCCAGACTAAGAAACAGATCTTAAAGGAGAGGGCACAGCCATGACTGGTAAATGGCAGAGCATTTGCTGTGGTACCTAGCTGGCAGAACTTGCTGGAAATCTGTGCTGTAATGTGCTTGGGAAAGCTGTTCATGGGGAGGTGCTGCAGAAACCACCCAAGGGGAAGCTGCTGGCCACTGGGTGCTGCTGGCTGCCGTGCACTGCAGGTGGGGGACTGCCGAAGCAGCTGCACACTTTAGGAGCTGCAGAGGCCAAGCAAGGAAGAAGACATCCCTTATGGGAGACTGCTGACCGAGCACTCCAAAACCAGAAAACAAAGCCCTACCTTCCGCATTCCTCTCTCCATGCCTCTAGACTGACAAAGCTTAACACTGTGCCAGTCACCAAAGGGCTCAGATCCATTTTCACAGAGCAAGCAAAAAGGTTAATTTGGAGCTGATATGCAATAGATAGCTAAGGAGCACAGTCCGCGCCTTTGACTCTTAACTTCTACATGTTCCTGCTGCTCACATGTTAACCCCCATACAATAAAAGACTTTATATCACTACATAACAGTGTATAGTTATGCTTCTTAAAAAAGATTTTATTCCTTCCCCAAAATGAGACAGTCCAAAAAGTCTTTGTATCCATCACTGGCAAATTCAGTAAGAGTCCTACTGAATAGTAAGAATCCCCTAAAAGCTAAATTGTAAATTTAGCTACTAATAATACACGTATGACACAAAGAGAAGAAGGCAAGAGATAAAAAAAATAGCATACAAACAAGTGCATACACACATAGACACACACAGAAACATAGAGAAAACAAATAACATTATGCAAAGCTTCTACAGTCCTCATTTCTATAATTGGCATAGGGACTTTAACTAATACCTTTGGCTTCCTTCTTCCAGTGACCATTAGTTATCACCTCTACCATCAGCCAGAACCTCAATTAACCAGGGTTTGAATGACCCAAATCTTCACTGCCACAGAGCCCAAGTCCTCAACTGTTCCATCCTTACACTTTTGGTAAGTTGCCAGACCTCTCTAAATTCTTGTTACCTCGTTCATAAAATAACAAAGGTAGCTAGTTCTCATCTCAAAACTTTGTGATGTAGGTTAAATGAGTTAAGGCATGAAGAGTTCCTAGTACATAATAGATATTTTGAAAGTCTTCCATTTTCTTCATCAATTCATCTTCCCTTAATAAGGTAACAGAAGATTCTGTGTGCACTAATATGTTCCTTTTGACTTCCAAAATAATTTTAAGAATGAGCTTTATAGATCTTGCATCATGAACCCTATTTTTGAGTGCTACTTGAAAACTGGAGGATGTATCGTCTATGAAATGTAGAATATGTCTGGGATGGGGCATAGTGAGATTTGGGGTTTTCTTTATATACTTCCATAGTATTTGAATTTGTTACTACAAGTATGCATGATTTCTGGCCTAGTTCTATGTCTGCAAATTTCTAGATTTATTAGCTAGAGCACTTAACCTAACTGGAATTCTTCTCTTATCTACAAAATAAGGGAATTGGAATAGATGCTCTCTCAATTTTCTTCCAACTCCAGCATATATGATTCTATTTCTACAACTTCAGAGTTCCATCCAGGTATACTTCACATATGGTCAATAGATGTATCTTTGTTTTTCTTTTTTTATTGACGCATCATCAGTTTACAATGATATGTGAATTTCTAGTGTACAGCATACATATACATAATGATTCCTTTTCAAATTATTTTTCATTATAGGTTACTACAAGATATTGAGTACAGTTGCCTAGATGTATCTTTAATTTACGTAAAAAAAAAAAAAACACAATCTCTGGGCCAGAACAATAACAGCTCAGATACTACCATTTACTAGATACATAACTCTGGTGAGGTGCTTAACTTTTGGACCTAAATTTCCTCATCTGTAAAATAGAAAAAAATAAGACTTCATGTGCATTAACATGCAATAGGAGTTCAACTAATTGTAGTCATGCTCTTTAATCAGATATCAGACATGTTAAAATGTGTGTGGTGGGGGGGGAGATGGTAAATTATTTTTTAAATCTGTGAAATAAGGTAGTCCTGTTATTGTTACTCACTGAACATGTATCACTCTGGTTGAAAAAGCAACTCAGCAATCTTTTTTTTTTTTTCACTTTCAACTCCAGTAATTTAAAAATGTTATATCACTATTACAAAGTACGGAAAGTAAAGAGCAAGTATCATGTGTCATTTATGAAAGGGCAGGACCCATGCATTTTATAATTGATTACTTACTGAGTGACTACTACGTGAAAGATAGGTTATTAAATGCTTGGGATATACAAGTGGGCTAAAATAGAATCCCTGTTCATATTGGAGCAGACAGCCCAGCAAGCGGGGGGGGAAGCACTGATAGAATTTAGGAAAGATAAAGAGTAAAGGAAATATTTGACAAATGAAAATGGAGGACAACACTGTACATTATTTTTTCTCTTAGAATATTAAACCCTAAAAAGTGTGAATGCTTTTATATATCTTTTCTGGAAATTTTTATATGTATAAAATGAAAACATAGTATCTTAAGTTGAATCACTATAAAGCAAATGATTTGGTGACCGGGGGCAAGGTGCCACCAGGATTAAAATAAAAAAATATTATAAGGAAAGAAGTAGAAAGTTAAAATATCCATTTCCCAAGCCTGGTTGATTTATGAACCTATTGTCTTCAAGAATCTAGGGTTTTGATTCTTGACTTAGACAAACAAAAAAATATATGAAGGAAAATAGATTTGCTTGTCCAAAAACAAAAGGGGTGGAAGGTGAAGTCATAGAACAAGTTTCCAAATGGAAACACAAAGGACATTCTTTCATTTACTGTCATCCACTCAAGAACAAGCAGATATTCTCAAACTAGATAACAGTGCTTATGGTCATACTGGACCAGCAACAAAGCCAGGAGGCACTTAATCATCTTTTATTTACTTAAAAGCATACCTTGAATATGCTTGTTTTTCCTTCTACCTGTATAACTCGTTTTGTTTTATTTTAAAGCTATTGTAGGATAGATAGGCATTTTACTTAGTGCTTTTCATAACAAAACAATTTACTGAAAAAATTTTAATGACAAGTATATTAAAGAGACTTCTATAGGTAATTTTGTGAACTCTTTTCCCTCCAGAGAGCTTCACAAGCAGAGGGATGTTAGCATAAAATTGTATAAACGTCTGCAGAAAGGAGTTCTTCATTTCAAGTAACCTATTTGGTATTTTGACATTTGGCAAATGCTTTACTTGTGTTCCATGGACCTTAGGAACAGAATATATTGCAATATATTCTGTCTTCTGGTCCCATTTATATTAACTTTTTAAGAAAGCACTCTGTTAGGTATGAAGTTCTGGATTTCACTAGTGACTTTGTACCAATCTATATCATTTAGCAATAATTTTCCAACAGTTCATCTTGAAAGAAGGAAAAAAAAAGTCAAGTTTTATATGCTATGTGATATAGTTAAATGAAAACAAATATCGTTATTTTAAATCAGTGGGTAATTCTACCCATGATGACCACCTTGTTATTTTTCTTCTGTTTTTCTTTCTGTGCATCTCTATGCCTGATAAGTTCTCATTCCCTATTCTTTCCACACTCTTGCTCTCCCTCTGTCTTCAATGTTTCACACTTGCAAAGCTCTTACAATTTGTTTTTAGGTAGAAAGGAAAATACGGGGATAGAATACCTTGTGTGTATAATTAATAAAACATAAATTATATAAATATTTAGTACATTTATTATCTTAAAATAAATTATGTTAGAAAGGAAATAAAATTTCAAAGGGAGATGAAAAAGCGGTATTTCTGAAAATAGATATTGTAGTAGAGTAACTTCAGGAGCACAGATTCAATAAGTGGACTCAGCCAAGTTACAGAACACAGAATTAGAATTCGAAATGTGAGCAACAAGTTTTATAATATTTAGATAATATTGATCTTACCCACGGAAAGAGAGTTAAAGGTGAGGCATGTAGGATAAAATAGTATCAACACATTTTTAATACTGAGTACAGTAAGAGAGGGAGAACAGAAAAATATGCAACTCTAGAACAAACCAATCCTACTAAGTGCCAATCTATGAAGAATAAATATAGGAAAAAGTCCAGGGAGAATTAATATAATGCAGAATTTCCATTCCCACTAAAGACTTTATTATCTGATCTGTCCATGGAAGGATTCTTTAGCATATGATTTTTGCTTATGAAAGAAATCTACTTAGAATCTTCTGGTCAAGTGTTGTGAATTTAATATATGCATTTATTTCTATACCATCTAAAATACACACACACACACACACACACACACACACGAAACCTGTAGCAATTCAAAAAGGATAGACTCACAAAGTCAAAGAAAGCTAGAGCAATGTAGGGATGTTAATTAAATTTTAGAAACTGGAAGTCAAATAGGCATCATGATTTAGGAGACCTGAATGGAAGATGCTTGTGCGTGATGAGAAGGGGGATTAAAAACCAGACTCTAGCAGTTTCACACCACAGGAGCCTGAGAAATTGCAGGGATCAGTTACTTCTATGAAGGTGCAAGGTAGAGCAGAAAACAGGATAAGTGGCTGAGTCTTTAAAAAGAACTGCTATATCCTCTCTCATCCCAAACAGCCCAGTAATTATCTCTCTCTTACCTGTGCTAAAGATGAAGGGTTTATCCTCTGGAAAGTTGGATAACAGAGCATCTCACATAAGAAGGTAAGGCACAGGTGAGGGGAAAAGGTAAGTAAGGTACTCAAAATGAAATTTAAGTGATAACTCAATGACTAAATATTCAGTTCATGAGCCCCTTCCCTCTCCTGGTGCCTAGACTACTAACATCCAGGTCTAAATCTCCACGCAGGCTATGGAAGAAAAAATAAAACAGATCAAAAGGGAAAAAAAATCCCACCAATACTGACAATAGGGGATCCCCTCAAACACAAGGAGAAAACTGAGCTCTCACACCAATAAACAGCCCCACCTGAGAAAACAGAGCTCCAGTAAACTCTTAGCACCTCACTCTTAATATAAATGGGAGGCCAAGGACCACCAGCCAATTATGGAAAGTCTCTAATATAAATAAAAATGAAAACTTACAGGGAAAAAAAGCAACCAAGGCAATTTAAGAAGCAAAATTTAAATTTTTAAAAATATTTTATTGTCCTTAAAGAAAT